TCGAGACAATTGACATCGAAGTGGACAAAGAAATGTTTGACGTGAATGTCTTCGGACTCATAAATCTGACACGAATTGTATTGAGATATTTTCTCGACAATCACATGAAAGGACATTTTGCGGTCACTTCGAGTACTGCTGGAAAATTAGGTTACATTTAGTAAATGCCATAATTTTAATGCAAATACTTTAACACTGTTTTATATATGCATTCCTTCAGGTGTTCCCAACTCTGGCTCTTATACGGCATCCAAACACGCTCTACACGTGACTTAAAAACTCAATTTAATATATTTAACGAGATTTTAACATAATATGGTTTCCCATCTATTCATTAAAGGGTTACTACGAGTGTCTTCGAGTGGAGGCCCAGTCGAGAGGAATATCGATCACAATGCTATGTCCCGGACCCGTCTTCTCACGCGTTCTCGAGAACGCGATGTCAAACAAATTGGACTCAAGTCATGAAGTGGTCACTCATAGTAAAGATAATAAACGATTGGCCACTTCTCGATGCGCTCATCTCATGGCTACAGCCATTGCCAACACATTGGATGAGGTATTCATCCACTTATTGCCAAAACTTTGATATTAATTATGAATATTATGTAATAATTGTTTTAGTCATGGATTGCATTACAACCGGTGCTAAGTCTATACTATGTGTCACAATATTTGCCCACAATTTCCCGAAAATTGTTTTCAATATTTTTAACCCCACAACGAATGGCTCGACTCAGAGAGGGATCCAATTGAGACAATCCATCAAATTTAATATTCTTGTATTCTTTGCTAATTCTTTAATAAATAAAAATATTTTCTAATCGTTATATTAAATGTTATTTAAACCAAATGTTTGTTAAAAACTACAGGAAATAAATCAATGAAAATGTTTGAATGCATTAAACAGTGAATGAATTGAATAGTAATCGGGATTTGAAAGGAAGTGATGACTGAATTTGTGCAGAATTGGGAAGTGATATGAGAGACGACAACACGAGAGGGCAGTGGAGTAGGAGTTGTGTCGCGTCATCACAAACACGACAATCACATCACAACTCATCCAAACATCGATTGCTTTAATGTGTGAGTGATTTGTGCGAAGCGTTCAACACTTGGTTTGTCCATCACTTCCCGGGAACCGATTGCCCGACCAAATGACTCGACAGATGTGCTCCAACGGGTGGATCAACTGTTTGGCGGTGTATTGTGTGGTACTGGCGGTGACACTAACGCCGACCCAATGTCTGAGATTTCATTTACAGCCAAACACTAAGC